CCCCCCCCCCCCCCCGCCCCAGAGGAAGCGACCTGAGAAGAAGATTCTTGATGCAGCAGTAGATGCAGCCCGCCGACCATGATTTTTGTGAGAGGCGATTCGGCTAGACGTTGCGGGGGCGTGTGTCTATGGTAGGTCTACACATAGTCTACAGATATTTTGCGACACACATGTCTGTCTGTTCGTCACACCTGCCCAAGGTAGAGAAAACAGACATTCAAGCGACTGATGCTGACGCTGGCTCTAATGTGGTGGTTCATAGCAGAAGCGATCAGCGCGCCTATATACACAACAAGTTCCGGGAAAAAAACTGATATGAATTTGTTCACACCCGTTCGTCCGTGTTGGTCTGGGACTGGCTCTTTTCGCAAAGTCGCCTGCCCCTGTGCACACTCCGCGTCATTCTCGATCCCCAGCGGGCATGGCCGCCCGCCTCGGCTTCGACACGTCAGAATCTGCTCCAGCTCGGGACAAAAGCGATTTTTCGATGAACGACGAACGGCGCATCGAGCACAGGGATGTCAAGGTAGCCGTGAATCAACTTGACTACGGTACATATTCGCTAGGATTGTACATGAATCAGCGAGCCGAAGTGGAAGCTAGAACACCGGACGTGACCGAGGTCGGTTAGGTGACAGAGTCGGCGTTGAAGGATCTGCGGTTTGTACACACGTCCGCTTCGGGTACTAATGGCGCCTCGACAGCACACAGTGTACGTGTAGATGCGTTGCCGTCATTCCCGCACCTTCTCCGACCGAGCCACAAGGAGGGGAGCAGCACGGGACCAGGATAAACGGTGAAGTGGACAAGTTTGGTCCGTTTTATCATGTTATGTAGTACTCACAGGATGTTGCGCCACATAAGACTTGATTTTAGAGTGGACGCACGTCGGAGCGATTCTTGCTTTTCGCCACGTGATCCCACGCGCGATCCCACGCGACGCGCCACACGTGAATCTGCGAAGTAATTGCTCTTCCGTCTACTAAGGTGGTACCCGTGGAAGAACTCAGCTGATCCAGGCAGCAGTACGAGCGTTAACATCAATGTTGCATCGCAATCCCATGTGAAATCGATCGATCACGTGATGACCTTGCTGGTGACTTTACTAGTGGTCATGGTCCTGTTTCAAATTGTGTACAACCACATGCCAATGCTTCGGCCGTTCCCCACCGGTTTCTCTTCACTTATCCGACGTGCATGGGCCATCTACAACACCAAAATCCTATGCAGAGAGACGCGGACCACTGCTGCTTGCTGTAGACAACAAAGAACGCATGCATGTGGATGTATGTCTGTTGTTGTTGGATGTATGTCTGTTCCCACCACCTTCCCGGCTTCCTTCCAAAGTTCCACATACTACCACGTGCGCTTCTACCGACATACATGCTGGAAGCAACATGCATCCTGCAACATCAACAACAACATTTTTCAGAAGTTACCACTGCTGTACACAACAAAAATACGCGACTCCTCTTGTCCACTCATGAGCACCCTGTCAAGCTGTGTTACCCCACGCGTGCCTTGTCCACGGCAACGGCGGATATGACAAGCATATTCGTACTACAATCAAAACAATCAAACATCATCATGGTCTTCCGATGGATAATACATAGTAGTCTAGCATTCAAACATCATCATATGCAAGAACGAAACACGGAATACCACCCGGTCGGTTGGGTCGGTTCACAACCATCAATTCGTCATCTACCTGCGACGACACGCGTCCATAGCCGGAACGCTGCGCAGTCGCCACCACCACGCGGCGCCCTCCGAACTACTGCACACTCTGTCTGGTGGAACCGATCTTCTTGCGGACGCTGAGGTATGACACCTGAAACATTGTACACGTTCACAGCCATTGGTCGACATACGTTGGACTCTACAGTACGCTAACATGTTGGGATGGCGACGCGGCCACAAGACGACTGACTACGGCCTAAATAGGCGTAGACATGCGAACAGATGTCCCAACTACACACAATTAATCCGATGAAAACTGCCTGTTGTATGCATAGTCTATAGTTGTCGTAAACGCCTTGACGACATTGTGGCATGATCCCTCGACGCTGTTTTGGCGCATCTCCTTCCTGCAGAAATCAATCAACGAAAAATGGGCGATTCTGTACAACCGTCATCATTGTTTACAGCGAGCGCCGAGTCTTAAGACCATCCGCAATTAGCCTCTCTTTGGATCGATAACTGTTGCCTCCACCTTTCTTGCCAACGGCGGCGTCTTCGTGGGTACCTCTCCACCCAAGTGCTTTTCCGGTACCGACGCTTATGTGTCTCATGGTCAGATGTCCGATACCTATGTACGTCTAGATCTATCGCCCAAAGGCCGTAAAAATTGTCGCGAAGCCGCCATGTCAGGGTCCTACACGACGCGTTGTTTCCTCCCGTGAGCAACCAAAAATGAAACCACAACAACACCGTTGCTTCCGGCTTTCAACCGTTACATCTACTCGCGGAGCCCGGCAGCCTTACCACGCAAGGTGGCCGCAAGCCCTGTTGGGGGGCGGGTGGCCAATCGTTCCCCCTAGTATGTTAAAGGAGGTAGCTTGCTCTACCACAGGCCTCTCAACGATGTTGAGCTCGGGTTTTCATGTCCCAAAATGAATGGGAACCTTTGCCACGAACTCGTATGGGTACAGCCAGTTTGAAAACGGAAGTACGTGTCGTTCTTCCAACTGGGGGCCTACCCGTACTCACATGCTACCAGTGCTATTAGATCAGCCGATTAACCGAAGCGGAAGTTCCATTTTGCGAAATTTGGTCTAACCGTGAGCTTTCTCTGCCAATAAAACACCGGCTTCATCGGCTTGTTGTGTTGTAATTTCTTTGCGTTTTCTGGTCGCTCAGGAAATTTCACCTAATTTTCGACTACCTACAGTAGCAAGGATGTTGTGGTGGTGGGAAGCACTACACCTCCCTGCCGGTACGAGAGGGGACAAGAGAAGCAAGCGTATCGATCCGTGCTGCTTTTGACCCGAAACACCACCCTCTCAACTTTGTTGATTGTGTAAACTTTATTGATTGTGTTTGCACGTTTTAACTTTCGGAGTTACAGGATGTTCACGGGATGATGACCCCCTACGACAAGGCACTGGGAGTTGTATTCGTTGACAATAGGTAAGGAAAACCCGTTTTCAGGGTTAGGGAATTCCAAATGCTGAAGAGATCGGCATCATCTACCAACCGTGAAGCTTGTTTCCTGAGAGCTTGTCGGGTGTGCGTGTACCTTGTTAGGGTTCCGACGACGAGGAAGGACGTGGTCGCGGCGACGAAATGACGTCAGGGATCGAGTCCGAATACTCGATTGGCAGCCAGCCGTTCGGGCACTACAAGGAGACGCCGCCTGTACCAATCGAAAATATTAAGGGATTCCGCGTTGGGCGGGATGGCTGGAAGGAGGTGTTTCACCTGTTCTTCAAAAATTGCGACCATCCGGCATTGCAGGTGAAGTCAGTGTCAAACAATCCGCGCCATCCACTCAGTCAACCTACACGTTCCCGAAATTTGTATCTGATCGACTCAAGGTACACGACAGGCGGCCGCCTGGTCAAATGGCTGCTAGAATTGCAAACTTCAAGCATTCGCCGGACCTTCCTCTCGACTGCACCACGAAGACGGACCACACAACCAATATATGGTACATGCGCTGACGCCGATCACTATTGCATTATGCGGTTTCCTTGAACAATGATCTCTGTCTAATACAATGTGGAAAACGGGACTGACTGCGTTGTCTCAATCAAGTGGATCACGACGTGCATTGACCCAAGAGCTCACGTATTCATACTCCGGAGTAGGTTGTATCTCCATGGAGTATTGGTTGTACCTCCATCTCCTCTGCTCGCATGCAGCCCTACAGGTGAAATTCCTTGGATTTTGGGACTGCCGCATGTCCCACACGCAGACGGGATACTGGACGGGATGACTGAAAAAGTTGTGCCTTCGTGTGCTGGTACAACATCAAAGCTCCAACAGTTTGGCTTTGTCTCGTACCGTACATAGTACAACGTTGAGATGTGTACCAGTTTGTTGCGAAGCATGCCCATTAAATTCAATGGTAGTCTACACGTGTATGAATGAAATTTGGAGCAGACCGCAAGACATTTTGAATACCTGGGAATACTTCAACATTGCTCTGCCCTAGCAGACTGTGCAGCCATTCAAATAACTTGTTGTTGCAGGATATAGGGAAAGGGCCGAATATGTTATTAGTTGCCCTGGTGTATTGGAGTTGGGGTTTGGTGTTGTAGTCTTCACACAATATTTTTCAATGCTACCTTGTCCAATGTCGGTACTGTTGCAACCTACGGGGACGGCTTCCGTGTGGGCAAGATTGTCTAGATACATACGCAAAACTATTCTGCGTCATCGATCTCGATTTCGTCACTGCAGGACCAGATCTACTTCCAGGACGAGAGGTTCATGGTAATTTACGACGGGTACCCCAAAGCACGGCACCATCTGCTTTTGATGCCGAGGCCGTCGGTGAGTGAACATGTGCGCATGGTTTAAATGTTCCTTGCAAATGACGGTTATTCGAGAGACCTATGCGCAGGGAGTGAAAGCCGTGAAAGTCTGGAGCTGATGGAAAGCCAATGCTGAGAGGATAGCTTGCCGCTGATCTCCTAATTTTCTATCTCTCGCGGCTACAATTTGGCTGTACCCTCTCAACCAGTTTCTTGACGTCATACGGCCGTCGGACCTCCGACGCGAACACCTCTCAGCTCTACGCCAGATGCATGCATTGGGTAGGGCAGTGGCGGAAGGCTTGTCGCAGCAGGGCATCGGCGAAATCAGGTGAACTGGGGCGGAAGACTATTGTTGGATATGATTGAAAACGCCCGAGGTGCAGAGGTCGGTCGGGGAAAAAACGACAAACAGGCAGGAGTCGTATCGGGTGTGGGGGGTACGTTGGGGGGAGTGTACTCATAGTCGTGTATGCCGTAGTCGTTAGAGCATTGACCTCGCATCCCTACAAAGCCGGGACGGAGCACGCCGGGTTCTCACCGGACCAGGCTCTCACATAACCAAGCGCGAAGCGCCGTGAGATTTTCGGCGAGACGCATGAAGGGTGCGCTGCATCCTGCTATGGGTGTTCGGCAACTTGTGCATACTTCCTTCTTGCGTACGGATGACCGCTGCGTATGACTTCATATATTTTCTGGTTCTTTCACTTCCTGAGACAGCTGTAAGCACTGTGTAACTGCCTCGAGGACGCTTCACCAATTTTACACACCGTGGTGCGATCACCCCCCTTGCGCGGAGTGAGGGTTCTCGACCCCGCACNCTGTTGGATATGATTGAAAACGCCCGAGGTGCAGCGGTCGGTTGGAAAAAAACGACAAACAGGCAGGAGTCGTATCGGGTGTGGGGGGTACGTTGGNATGGTTACCGCCGAAAGCAATAATAGAGGTCAAAACAATAAACGGTTACCTTGTTGCCGAGTTTACGAAGTGAATTGGCTTGTTTTACAACGTCGTTNCGTAATATATTTTCTGGTGCTTTCACTTCCTGAGACAGCTGTAATTATTGTGTAACTGCCTCGAGGGCGCTTCACCAATTTTACACACCGTGGTGCGATCATCCCCCTTGCGCGGATNGGAGGAGGGGGCTTGTTTTACAACGTCGTTGCCAAGAGACGAAAACCGAACCCCGATGGCAAACACCGGGGGGGGCGGTACGTTGGGGTTTATTTACAAGAGCTTCTGTAGCACCATGACCCTCACCTGTATTCACTGTCACAATACATTTACTCTGTCCGTTTCCGGGCTGCAAGGATCGGTGTGCACGCTGTTCCTTCAATGGAGCCGTTGCACATGCACATCATCAGCCAAGACTTCGACAGTGAAAAAATGCGGATGCCGCGTCATTGGAACANAGCCGAAAACAAAAATAGAGGTAAAAAGAAAAAACGGTAACCTGGTTGCCGAGTTTACGAAGTGAATTGGCTTGTTTTACAACGTCGTTGCCAAGCGACGAAAACCCAGTCCCGATGGCAAACACCGAGGGGGGGGCTTGTTTTACAACGTCGTTGTCAAGCGACGAAAACCCAACCCCGATGGCAAACACCGGGGGGGGTGGCCTGTTTTACAACGTCGTTGCCAAGAGACGAAAACCCAACCCCGATGGCAAACACCGCGGGGGGCGGTACGTTGGGGGTTATTTACAAGAGCTTCTGTAGCACCATGACCCTCACCTGTATTCACTGTCACGATACATTTACTCTGTCCGTTTCCGGGCTGCAAGGATCGGCGTGCACGCTGTTCCTTCAATGGAGCCGTTGCACATGCACATCATCAGCCAAGACTTCGACAGTGAAAGAATGCGGATGCCGCGTCATTGGAACATCTTCACCACAGGTAGCCGCCTTCCGCATTGCCGACCGTGTGCTTGAAACGGGTGCGCTCGATAGATGTCTGTAGGTGCATGAGGGTGCAAAAGACGGCGGAGATCGCCAGGTAAACACGCAGGGCACGGGAGCGGGAGAAGGGCTGCGGCCTCCCTAATTGCCCAATAGAGTGGATTATTCGGTGGATATATCGCACGCTTGTCACGTTTGATGTACCTCGCGAATACTGCAGCGTCCGGGCGATCGAGAATTCCATACGTCCGTCATCGTTGATCGATAGCCTCGTGTGATTCCTCTTGCTAACATAAGTAGGACATTTGGCATTTGAAGAGTTTTTTAAACGTTTTCCGATCCCTGCAAACCGGCACGGTACAGTAGTAGTCGAGTTATCGTGGTCGTTGAACACTATCTGACCGAGCCTCTTCCTTGCTTTCACAGGTGAACAGTTTGACTCGTTCGTGAGTTCGTGACCCTACCTTAGCTCATAGAGTGTTGCGTTGTGGGCCGTTCGGTGGCGCATAACACAATACCGATTCCATGGCAACTGCGTAGCGCAGTTACGGTCGATCCAACTGTCGTTTCTCTTCGCGAGAATGCAGCCTTGGCGGGTATTCCCTCGTGCTGTTCATGCACCCTGACAGAATATTTGCCATCATCAACAGCTCCATTGTAGACTTGGACCCGTTCTCCATTTCTGCTCTTGCCGCCGCCGGCCCAATGGAAACATCCGGGAGCGTATGCCGTTCGTTGCGGTGTTCTCGTGAAAATAGTTTTTGACATCGCCTCGACGACGCCATCAATGTCGACGTTATATGTCACACGTGGAAATCTCATGTACTTGGTACAAAACAAGCGAGCTATGCCCGTCAAAGCAACGCGACCGTCAACAAATTCCGAGTTCGTCGGGCACGACGACCGTGAGTTCAGACGCCAATGAAACCGTTTGTAGCCCAAACAGAGGGGTTGGGGTTAGACGCTGTTTCTTGCACATCTATGTTGTCCCACACAACGTTGAAGGTGGATCGTGCTTTTTTTGTGAAAACCATTCAGATATATTCCTCGAACCTGCTTGGATAGAGGAGATGCTTGAGCGGCACGGATGCCTCCAGCTGGATATGGAAAGGTGAACGTACGTATTCCATGTGCACAACGCACTACAGCCCCTGCCAGTTCAAAAGTAGCTGTGCACGTGGTACACCGTATTACTGTAGGCACACCCGTGCTAGACGTTTTTCATCTAAAGCAGGGTCATTATTCTTGGGAGCTGCGAGATATTCCACCAAGATGCTCTGTCCACTGCGGGACCCGCAACCAACCCAACGCAACGGACAACGGCAAACCGAACAAATTCGGGGGGGAGACCCGATACGCAGAATGCGTTGAATAGTACCAGACAGTTCGAGTATTGTCGATTTCATGTACTACGAGGGCTGACGAGAGAGAGTGATATTTCGTATGGGCTTGGTCCTAGCGGTAGTATGCGCCAATCGTGAACTACGCCCTGGCGACTTCTGCGAGGTGTGTCTGACCTTCCATCCATGCCTAACAGGTACATTCGGCTGAAGGAACAAACTCCGCGGTGCCATATTTGCCAGGAAACAATTGGCGGGGTTGAGCGACTCAAGGCCCACTACCTGTCCCACGAGACGGTGAGAAAAAACACGTGTAAAAAATGTCCCTCGTACATTGAACGAGAGCAGCTAGGCTCTCCCGTGGTCACGGCTACCCAAAACATCCGTCAGTGCAGGGCCAAATAACGTGTTCCATGCATGCCGCTGTCGTCAGCTGGGCAACGAAACTCAAGGCATAGACAGCACAACCTCGACTCTGCTGTCAACTGCCTGTCATCGCTCCTCTTCCGGAACTGGGTCATGAAAGCAGCACGAAGGGACTGTCGAAGAGCTGGCTCACCTGCCTGGTTCTCCAGAGTAGCATTAACCCCAACACGCTGATCGTAACGCGTTGTAGGCCTACAATCTCCTTCAAGAGCAATGGTTGGACTTTGACACTGCGCGTTCCGCTATCGTTTTGGATGCAAACCAGATCGCACGCGTGTACGGCCCTTCTCGGCAGCGCAACGCCAGCCAGGTTGATCATCGCTCGATCCCAGGTAAATTGGCCGAGTCATTCGTGTCGTTCCCACGCTGGCCGATCCCTTGTTCTGCAAGCCTGGCTATTGTGGTCGTGTTCCGTTTTTACCTTCTCGTCCCGTTCTCGTCGCCATTGAAGAACGTGTTGATGGTGTCGGGCCCTAGCCTTGTACCGCACAGCTTCTTGTAGGCGTTCGTACGTATACCTGTTGGTGTGCGCCAGTAGTTTGGGAACAACAGCAGGTTATCGCTTGGACGACCCCCTGGAGAAGGCTTTGAAAGAAACCAACACTGTCGATAGGGCCGTCTCTTACGAGAATCGTACCGCGTGCATCCCGGCAGCGCTGTCGCATTTACCATGAGGATCAACTCTCCACGATCCACTGATGTGTTTAGCGTCCACGATTTACGCAATGCAGAATCCCCCCTGCATGAACAACGCCATCTCGGGCGCGCGGACCCGAGGAGCCAACAAGGGTCATGGAGGCGGGGTCATTGCGCGCCGCAAACCCGGGTTGAAGGCGCGCAGTATCAGAGCACACGCAACAATGAGTTTCCTCAAGGTAAGCCAGTGTGGTACCTCAGCGTGCGGCAAAGCCGGAGTACTCAAGCACGAGCATCGGCGGTCTGGAACGAAAGACTCGTGATAGTGGCAATGAATAGAGGGCAGGACTCGAGGGAATTTCGGATGCGCACCTCAAAACCAACGAAACAGTTCCATTGGTATGCGCTAAAACGAGGTGCCGACACATGGAATACGGTACTACTAAAACTGTCGTCAAGCCGCCCGCGTCAGACGGATCGGTGCGAATATTCGAAGGTCCTGAGCAGCGGTCGGAACGGGGCTTGTGTGAGGAAAACAGCAAGCACAATAATACCAACATATTCTGTTAATAGTACATCAAGGATGTCCCGTATGCCACGCAGTGAAGCGGGTGTTGGCGCACGTACAGCATCCGAACACTTGCACATGACAATAGGTCGGAGACCAAATCCGTAACGTACACCAGCCGACAAGCTCGTGTTTGCACCATGATGTACACAATCAAACTTGAAAAATGTAGAGCACTCGTTCCACGTTTTGCCGGCCACTTTTCGTACAGGACCGGGTCGGGCCAACCGACCAAGGTGGGCCGGGCAGGGTGGGTGCAGCTCGACGCGAAACCGTGGAGAGAGGGATTGGGGGAACGCAAGGAGGAGAGTGCACCAAGATCCGACGGGCGAGCGGCGCGGACCCGGAGAAGGAGAGGCACGAGAGATTGGGTCCTGGAGGGACAAGCGAGGCCAAGGATGCCAGTGGCGGCAGGAAGGAAACGAGCCATCCGGAGGAGCACGAGGAGGAGGAGAGAGAGCAGAAACACGGAGATACACACCAACCTGGGGAACGGCCGGAGACGGAACGAGGGAAGGTGGCGGAGGCGGGGCCACGCGAAAGGCCGAAGGCCTGGGAAAATTCGGGTGATTAATGACGTTTCATGCCTGTACTCCAGAGGTGTATCAATCAGTTGGCCGGAAACGAGCGGTGACGGCAAAAGCAATTGGACGGGTTGAGGGAGAGCCAAGGGTTGTCGACATACCTTCCAATTCTTTTGTGGCAGTTGGATGCAAAGAACCTACCGCTGGAGTCAAGCAAAATGAATGCCACAGCAGCAAGTCGCCAACAGCTTCACCTCACTTGTTGTTAACCGCTTTGCCGCACCAGCAGTGTTCGGCCGGTACAAGACCCCCGGCGAATCCCGCTGACTCACCGCGGCCTCCGGCATCCGAGGTCACCTCCATCCACGAACCTCGATAAGACCGGTACCACGTGCCACAGTCACGGCGTCCCAGCTGGAATGGCCGCCGGCGCACGGAACGCTGACGCTATCGAATTTCCCCTCTACAAGGACCAGGCCCCGCAACCGGTGTCGAGGATGCCTTGGCTCAAGCAGCACATGTTGGACGGACCTCTTCGGGGCTTCCTAGAGCAGTACTACAATAACGACGACGACGAAGAGGGCCACGAGTGGACGGGCGCCAAGATCCTTTCGAACAGACACCTGCACAGTTGGAAGGCGGCCCTTTTTTTGTTCCTGATGTACCACACGAACGAACAAATCCAGGTTCGGTAGCAGTCTGACCGCGTACGTTGCATATTGTGCCTTCAGGCGTCGTCGTTTCGAGGAGAAGATTATGGGAAACGGTCACACAAACTCTTGATGTTGACACAATAACCGTGGCAAAATCTAACACGACTCACTGTTGTCAGCATTCACAGGCTCGTATGCGTTTACATCGCCTCCCGTCGCGGCGTTCATGAGAAACTTTGCCGGCGATATCATGATTCTGTCGTTTTTTTCGTTCGGTCAAGTCCGCTTGCTTTTGTCACCACGGTGCACCTGATGTTTGCCCTTGAAAACCCGTAGGGCGAGGTGTTCTACATGGATGAGAACATGATGGTCACGTACGACGGCTTCCCGAAAGGGAAGTTCCATCTCCTGGTGGTCCCAAGAGAGACGGTGAGTGCCTGCCGGTATGTTATCTGTCATTTTTTCCTGATCGCGGATTGGGTTGGCGCGCGGCTCAAGGCTTGTCGGTATGTGTACATAGGCGAACGCCATGAGTATCGATGCACCGTGCTCATCCACGGTAGACGGGCGGCGTAGGGAAGACATCTTGGAATATTCGCATTTCGGCTGTGGGGTTGCTACGTATGGTAGGCCAAGAAAACGTGTGGCCGAGGGGGGAAAATGTTTCCTGAGTTCTGACTTCCACCCTCACAGTCTTGGGAGTCCTTACGCTCCTCTTCCAACACCTCGACTCTCTTTTTTTTTTCTTGGTCTGAAGTTTCTCAACGTGACGGGGCCGAGCGCCCTCCGCAAGGAACACCTTCCGAAGTTGCGCCGCCTTCACGCTATGGGAGCTGCGCTGGCGAAGGCCTTGTCCCTTCAGGTGGAAGTCAGGGAATTGTCGCACCCTTCTGCAAACGTGATCAGGTGAAAAGTGATGAAATGACACTAGGTCATGCCTCTCTCCCGATGTGGAGACGCGCGTATCGGGGATGGCATACGGAGTGGGCCGGATCACCTCGTAATCATTTGCATATGAGACGCGCCCAAATGACTCCCCATCGGCG